CTAGCAGACGCAATAATTCGCACTTCTTTCGCGACAGGAGGTCGGCGACATTCTCTTCCGACGGCGCTCGGTCGAACCAGGCCCCGCATCCGATGCGCGCGATGAGGTGCCGCGGCGCACGAGTAATTCGCGAGTGGTCCCAAGCGGAGGCGCGGCCACTGCGCGCCGCTGCCTCCGCTCCAACGTTGTCGGACCAATTGACAATTCGACGATTTGCCAACCTTGCGCAGAAAGTAGCCAGCCCTAGCGCTATGGCGAGCAACTCGAGCGCCATGATCTGGGAGTCGCTTCGCGGTGCCCGATCCGCCAGCAAGCCGTCGCCTGGCGGGGCGTCAGTCCAAATGGCGAGGCCATCGTTGAATAGAACGGCGGTCAGCCTGGGCTCGGACCCTCCGCGGGCGTCTGCAAAAGGGTGCGCCTCTTTCCGTTCTGGCGGCGACCGCGGCTTGGCCTGGTGCGCTCTGAGGTCCAGCGCGTCCGCCCACCAGGAGAGCGCGAGAGCCAGCGGTCCTCGGACCTCGCCACGCCGCGAATGCTGTTGCGAGAACAGAGGTTGGAGCATCGCACGCCCTAGCCTTTCGAAGCAGCGTTGCCCTGCCCAGCTGAGGGTGCCAGCCAACTTGCTGGCCTGGCCGGCGCGTGACTTCTCGGCGTCGAGCGCCTGCCTGATCAACAGCACCCATTTGCGCACCTTCTTCGGCGCCGGGAACAGGTGGATGCCAGTCAGAGAAAACGACGCGTGCAAGCCTAAAATCTTCAGCGCGTCGCCACACTCCAGCTTTCTGTCGGATACTGCTCTAGGGCCCAGCAACGCGCGCACGAGTGCGGCCAGAGAGGCCATGGTGTGCTCCTCTGCTTCGGGCGCGCACGGGCCAAAGAAGTCGTCCACGTATCGGAGGGTAGCGATTCGTAGAAGTTTTCGGGCCAGATGAGCCAGGGCTGCGCCCGCGCGGTCCCAGCCGAATGCCGCGGCCAACGCTCCAAACATCATCGCTAAATGACCCGTGACCCAAGTGTTCCCGTCATGCGCGTAGGTGCAATGCGCGGCCCACCTGTGCTCGGGAGCAATGGGGATTCGACGATAGGCGGAATCTATGTCCACCTTGAACAGAGCCGGCGCGCATCCATGCCGATCGCGACAGAAGCGTATCGCGTCGACGAGTACGGTTGCGCCGTCGAGTTGCAGTCGTTCCGCAGGCTGGCACGCCGCGTTGACGCCGCCCCTGGACTCGTCGTCCACCACGCGGATTTTTGGCGCCCCCATCCTCTTTTACGCCTTGTATTATTGAAAACCGTGGCGAAAGGCGCACCCTGCTGAGGTCAGCATCGGCTACGAGAACCGGAAACGTCATCCGCGACATGGCTGCGTCGGCAAGCGCGCCATCGCGCAGCGCCAAGGAGTTCGTATCCTCCCTTAGAGACGAAACAATTTCTCCGTTGTGCGCTGCGGACGAGGCCCGCAAGGTCTCGGCGGAGACGGGCTCGGGGATAGCCTTCGCGGGGCCGCTCCCCGCGTTGGGCAAGTTGCCGAAGAGAGGCGCGCCGTTGCGAAACAAGTCAGCCGCGCCCGGGTCGCCGTAGCTCGTTATGTCGACCAGCTCGGCCAAAAGCGGCCCGTTGGCGCCGTCGGAGATGGCCCTCGTCGCTTCGTCTGCGCCATCGAACCAGGGTTGCGCTGATCCGTCCCGGCGGAGCGCTTGGTCCCAGTCTTCCAGGCGCGCCAACATGTTGTCTCGGTGGCGCATTACTTCAGCGCATCCCATGGGCGCTTCCCATTCAATGGCGCTCCGCACATCCTCCCCGATACCCCGGGAAGGCGCGGTAGGAAGACCATCTTTGAGTGCGTTGGTAATAAATTCGATCTTCTTCTCGTCACCCGTGACGAGCTTGCCTGCCGCGCGACGGGCCGCGGCGCTTGCGCGCCTCGAGCCGCGGCTTGACCGCGGTGTCGCCTTTCAAATGTTCGCGAGTCAATCCCGTCGCGGGGCGGCCCGCGCGGGCGCAACTTCCCGGTGATGCTGCCGGCGTAGGCGGCGCAGCGCGCGCCCCCGCCGAATTGGCGGCCTTTTGAAACGCAGCGCCGGCGCGCGCGACGATCGTTTGGGCGCGCCTTCCGGGGGCCTCAAGCTCCGCAGGGGAACTTGCGATTAGCTCGACAGCCTCGCCCCCGTGATATTCAGATGCCACCTCTGGGCTCTGAGCAGCGCCTGCTAAATAGACCGGGGCCGACGTCCCACGCGCGCTCGCCGCGCGTCAAGTCAGCGTTCCTGATATCTGGCCCTCTTAGCCCGCGGCTCTTCGTAGTCACCGCGATCGCCCCCCGGCGCGGCAGAGGCCTTGCCCATGCTGGCGCCCTCTGCGCTCTTGCCGTTGCCCTTGCCGCCTTTGGCGCCACCTTTGCCGCCTTTGTCCCCGCGGAATGCCGCGCGCTCCTTCGCATCTCCGTCGTGCTCAGCTTGCGCTGTCTGGAGCAAAGTCGTATCCATTGCAGTGGCGGCTGTCTCAATGTTGAACGATTCGTCGCCCGGAATAGACCTCTCAGCCCAGTTGCGCCGGCAGAGCTCATCATATACGAGCGCCAGCTGGCCGCCCCGATTGGCCCGCGGCGCCTGCGCGGCCACTCGGCGCGGGCCGCGCGCAGAACGCGCGTCGCGCGACCATTTCTGCGCTTGGCGAATCGCGAGCCTGGAGGACAACCTGACGGTGGCTGATCGTCGCGGCCAACGACATCTGTCCGGTGCAAGCGCAGGCTATGGCGTACCTGCGCGCAGGCGAACGCCGCGCTTAGTTGCGCGCGCGGCGCAAACAAGGTGTCGCGCACATCTCAAGCGCCGAATGCCATTGCGAGAAGGGCAGCGATCTGGATTTGACCGAGCTGACGGCGCCCTCGTCTTCTGTTGCAGCCTTCGCGCCTTTTACCTATGCCCACATGGGCAATAATTTCTTTAGGTCTGAATGAACAAACGGGCGCTTGACGCCGCGGCGCAGCAGCTTCTTGACCTCATTGTCTAATGCGTCCACCGCCGCGGAACGCGGCCAGAAAGGCTGGCTTAAGTCCTTGAGGGGGCAGCTCTTCAACGTCCCCTGTAGGTCGACGTGGGACCAAGGTTCGACCGCAGCCCCGCCGCGGGGCGCGCTTGCGGCGGAGGCCGAGCCCGACGCGCGCCGCTCCTCCTCGAGCAAGGTCTTCGCGTCGGACATTGCCCTGGCGAGGAAGGGCCGCTTGCCTGTCGCCAGATCGCCCGTCAGCGACTCCGTCTGCGGAAGCCAGATCGCGCACGGACGTCAGCTTGTTCTCCTCTGCAAACGAGCAGGCGCGCCATCGCCGCACCCGCGGGCGGACGTGTCGCCTGGCAAGCGCGCAACTCGCAATCCACTCTCCGCCGCGTTTGGCATCGTCATGAGATGCCAGAATTTCAAGCAAAATCATGCCCAGGTTGGGCTTCTCAACGGCCATCTTGCTGCGTGCCACGTGCCGCACTTGCCGCAGCGGCGCGCGCCCGCCGCGACTTCTGTCCGCGGGACTGCCCGGGCTTGCGCGGAACCGCACCGCGCGTTGCCGTGCGCTGGAGTTCGACGACACATTCGCATCGAGCGGAGTCGTAGCCGCGATCGCCTAGTTTGGTCGTGTCGATACGATCGCCTGGACAGGGTCACGAAGACACCGAGCGGTCGACACACGGTCGCTTGACACGATCTAAGTATGTCGAATTATACGCGGCCGCCTCACACGGTCGCGCGTTTGGCACACTTGGCCAATTTAGGCACTCCTGGCCGCGTTTTGGCGCCCCTGGCTGCGTATGACACTCTTGGCCGCGTTAAGCACGTTTCACTGCGTTTAGCACTCTTGGCTGCGTAAGGCACTCTAGGCCGCGTTTGGCACTCTTCGCCGCGTTAGGCGCTCTCGGCTGCGTTGGGCACTCCAGGCCGCGTTTGGCACCCTTGGCCGCGTTTGGCACTCTTGGCCGCGTTTGGCACTCTAGGCCGCGTTTGGCACTCTTGGCCGTGTTCGGCACTTTAGGCCGCGCTTGGCACTCTTGGTCGCGTTCGGCACTCTTGGCCGCGTTAGGCACTCTAGGCCGCGTTTGGCACTCCTGGCCGTGTTTGGCACGTTAAGCCGCGTTTGGCGCTCTTGGCCGCGCTTGGCACTCCTGGCCGCGTTCGGCACTTTAGGCCGCGCATGGCACTCTTGGCCTCGTTTTGTCGCTCTTGGCCGCGTTTGGCATTCTGGGCCGCGTTAGGCACTCTTGGCCGTGTTTGACATTTTTGGCCGCGTCAGGCACTCATGGCCGCGTCAGGCACACTTGGCCGCGTTTGGCACTCTAGGCCGCGTTTGGTACTCTTGGCCGTGTTTCGCACTCTTTGCCGCGTTTGGCACTTTAGGCCGTGTTGGGCACTCTAGGTCGCGTTCGGTACTCTTGGCCGCGTTAGGCACTCTTGGCCGCGAAAGAAGAACGCCGCTACCGCGGCAAGCCGACGCGCGCGCGGAGCGCGCAGGCCTCGCGATTGGCCGTTGCGCGCCCCCGCGCCGCGCGTCGTGCGCGGGGGTATGTTTACCTTCCCCCCACCGTGGGGAGAAAGTCATGAAGGGGACCAAGACCCAGAACACGAAGTACACGAGGGCCTGAACGCGCCCCCCGTGTCCAACCTCTTACCCCACCGCCCCCCCCGCCCTCCCCCCCCCCGCGGGCCGCGCGGCGAGTCGCGGTGCCCGCGGCAGGGGGGAGGACGGAGAAACGCTGCTAGGTACGCGTTTTTGTGACAACGAACAAAACTGCGTAGTGTTCTGCCCAAACAGCTTTCCAAGACTTCTCCGAAGCCGCACGCGGTTTCTCAGGAGGCCGGGGGGCTTCTGAGAAGCCCCACCGCCCTCTATGAAGGCCCGCGCTCTCTCGCTTCCCCCCTTGGCGCGCCGCCGACTCAGGGGCACACAGTGGCACGCGTGTTGCCATGCCCGCATCGAGTCAACAAGAAGCCTACTCCGATGCCCCCCCCTGCAGGCGCCCGAGGCCGCCGCGGCGGCCGCGGCCGACGAGGCCGACGACAAGGGCGAGGCAGCCGCCGCATGCGCCAAGGGAGGGGGCAGCAGGAGCCCAGGGGCGAGGACTGTGCGAGGGGGAGGGGGCGAAATTGGGCGAGAGGGGTGGGGGGCGGGACCGAGGGGGGGGAAAAGGAGAGGGGGGCGGGCGATGGGGGGCGAGGGGGAGGGGTGCGAGGTGGAGAGGGAGGAGAGGCGGGGGGCGAGGAGGTGAGGGAAGGGGCGGAGCTGGGCCGGGCGCCGTCCAGTGGTCGTGGTCCGCTTGCGGGTCGGTCGTTTCGTCGCCCGGCGTCTTCCTCCTGGTGCCCGTGCTGGACTGTGGGTATGTCGTTGGCGTTTTGACGTGTTCTGGCGCTCGCGGGGGGGAGGGGCAAGGAGGAGAGAGGAAGGGCGAGGAGGAGAGGGAGGGAAGGGGAGCGAAGGGAAATAGGGAGCGGAGGAGGCTGACGAGCAGAAGGGGCGGGAGGGGGAGAGAACGAGGATCGAGGGGTGTTCGCTGCAGGATCGGCCGGGTACCCCTCTACCTGCTGCAGGGTCGACCGCTTCAGAACGAACACGTACACATTGGGGTTGTTTCGAGCAGGAATGCATGTCACCACGCGGTTGGGGGAAAGGCTCGAACATGTATAGATGTTTGTCGGCCTCCCCCTTCTCTCTGCCGTCGCTCCGGGCGGGCTGTCGCCTGGGTCTGCCCACGCGGAGGCTTCTGGGTTGGCTTGCCGTGGCCGTGGCAAGCAGTGCGGTGACGAGGGAGGGATTCTGCTGCCCGTCCTTCCCATTATTGTCGTAAGGTGTTTCGATGTGCGTTGTGCGCGTTCGCGCTTTGCCCGTGTTCAGTGGGTTTCGTGCCTGGATGTAGGCTTGTATTGTTCACCGCTCGTCTGAATTTCAGTCCCTAGGTTCTGGCTGTGTGTTTCTTAGTCCTTTTCCTCCTCCTCCTCCTCTCCTCCTCCCTCCTCGGTCCAGTGTCCGTGTGTGTGTGTGTGTGATTATGTTCGGTATGGTGCACCGCGGATCGCATTTTGCAGGAAACAGGAGGCTCTGCACAGCTTGCTCGATGCACGCCTAATGGCGTGTGCTCGTAGAGCGAGTTTGATCTATATCCTGGTTCGTTTCCCACGTTTTTCAAGCTGACATGTGGGTCGATTGTCAGGTTGTGGCGCTCTCTCTCTTTCTCGTCTATTCCTCTACTCCCGCATGCGGCACGCTCGTTCCTTTCAGGCCACGGTTCAGTACATGAGGTTGCCCATCGCAGCTCGGCTTGTATGGTGTTCCCAGTTTGCCTGGCGACCTTTTGATTCGCACAGCGGTCGAGGCCGAGTCAGGTGAAGCTCTGTGGTCGTACTCCATCCTCCTTACAACAATGTTCGTCGGCTTCTTTGCTTGACGCAAGACGGGCTACATGCGAATCCACCCGAAGACCACGGTGACGATTTCCCTGGCCTTGAACAAACGGTTCCCATTAAAGAACATACAAGTGTCGCATGTGACTGACAACACAGAGTTTCCATCTTTGGACACAACGGGCAATGAGAGGGGACACCGCTACTTCAACACGAACTGTCTCTGTGTGGGCATTCTGGTGATACTGTTTCTGAGGCCCGTGCGGCATGAACGTATTGAAACATAAAGGTGAAAACGGTTTTCCTATTTTTTCGGCTGGATAGGGTGAGTATAAGCATGCACGTTGGTGGAGACAGGTCCTCCCAGTGCGCGCTGATGTTTCAGCAGTGTTGGGCGTACTTGTTCAACATTGGTTTCTTGCACTAGAAGCTTGAGAGTGCGCTCGGAATGACATCGTTTTGGAATATACAGGTGTTCTCATGCACGGCGTATTGGCAAAGCAGAGAAGCAATGTACGTTTTCGCATGAGCGGGCATGTGGTCTAAACTGCTGCGTGCGTACCGCGTGTGCCTATTATCAGGATTCTCGTCGACGTACCATCAACCGTACCAGGCTCCTCCACTGTTCTTATCCCCCTTCCTCTTCCTCCTGCTCCTCCCAGCGCGCACTCCTCCTCCTCCTCCTCCTCCTCCTCCTCCTCTTCCTCCTCCTCCTCCTCCTCCTCCTCCTCCTCCTTGACACTCACTGCCGGCAGCTCAGCGACCACGCACTGATATCCGGGCAGATGCTGGGTGCTGCGAGGGGGCCGCTGCTCCCTCGACCGATTCCTAAGCATTATTTCACCGACCCGAAGTTCGAGGCCCTGGTCAACGCCACGCTGCAGGACGTCAACCTACTTCGCCACGAGCCGCCCGCGCAGGTTGCTCTCATGACGAAGCTGCTGCAGAACGCTGCCAGCAGCCTCCGCGACCTCGAGATCGTCGGCAACCCGCCGGACCCGAGGGTCAAGGCCGTGATGGCTCGGTCAGCCGGCCGAGCGTACATCCGCGGCCAGTGGCGCCGCATGCTGAAGCTGATGCACTCCTTCCCCGCCCTCAAGAACCACTTCGTTGTGACGCAGGGCGAGATCCACCTCCTCGACGCTGGACAGTGGAGGGACCTCCACAACGGCCTCCAGCGGGCTGCCAGCCAGGTCCTCCAACGGTCCTCCGAGCAGCAGCTCCAGGGCGGCGCGCCGTCCAGCAAGCAGCAGCATGCGCAGCACCGGGCGGTGATGACGAAGGCCGCGCTGCGGGCACCCCCTCGCCGGCGGCGGTATCCGTCGGCGATGGCAGTCTCCGACGGCAGCGGGGCCCCCGTCTCCACTCCTGAGGCTGTCCACGCGGCCCTGCACCGATACTGGGCCCCGACATTCGAGAAGGTCCCCGCGGGTGACAGGCGTCTGGCCCGCGGCTTCGCGCGGAAGTTCACCGAGCGAGCTGGCGACAACGAGAGGCGTGCCCCCGCGCTCGCCGGCTTTAGGAAGGTGGTGCGCAGGGCTGCGCACAGCGCCCCGGGGCCCGATGGCTTGCCCTGCTGCGCCGGGAGGGCGCCCGCTGCTTTGGCTGTCCTCGCCAGGGCCAGTGTGTGGATGGCGGCAGGCCTGCCCCAGGCATGCAGATTGTTCCGATGGCCATCTTGTTTTTGCCCCGAAGGGCACGCAGGACGGAGATGAGATTCAGGTCGCGAGGTCGGCCGTGGCTGTGCGACCGCTCGCGCTGAAAGGTTCGTCCAACAAGCTCGTCGCTGCTGCTGCTGCTGCTGCCGCCTCTGTGCGCCAAGTTCTCGTGATGAAGTCAGCCCCCACTCAGCGCGGTTTCGTCCCTGGCCGTCAACTCGGGATGAACATCTTTGACCTGGTCACAGAGGCGCGGATTACAGGCCTCCGCGGCAAAGCTGAAACCCGCACGCCGTTCTGCTCCCGTTTGCTTATGCACAGGCTTCCCCTCGCATGCACCGCGATCGGTTACATCATGTGTTGTTGTGCATGGCCCTGCCTCGAGGCTTCCGCAATCTAGTCAAACATCGTCAAACACGCAGCGTGCGCTCGTTCACAGCGACTGGAGGCGCTTTTCTGTTTCTTGCCTGGTCCCTCTCCGGGGTCCTGCAGGCACGCCCGCTCTCGGGGGCTCTGCTGACTCTCGGGGGCGACCCGCTCCTCCGAGCACTCAGCAGCAGAGTGGACCGGCGTGGCAGGGAAGTCACGCCCAGCTGCGCAGACGATATGGCAGCTATAATTCATTCCATGTCCTTCCTCACCTCCCTTGCCTCAGTCTTCAGGTGTGCTGCCGAATATGCAGGTCTCCATTTAAGCCCAATAAATGCCTCGCCATCCCCTTCTGGTCCACTTGCAATGCCGAAGTCGTCTCGAGGGTGCGTGAGGGTTTGCGCAGGGCGGCTCAGGATTGGGGGGACTTCGGAGTGAGAGGCTCGGGGATTGGTGCTGAGGTGGGGCCGGAGGCAACGATAGCTGGCAATCTCCGAGCGCCCCTTGCCAAGTAGCTCGATCAGCAGAGTACGCGGCGATAGGGGGCGGCGCTAATTTCTCGACTTTCCTGTATTGCACTCGTGCCCTACCTCCCTGGCTCACCATGGCGGCAGCAGGATTGGACCGCCCTCCAGCTCTGGGGCGGGCTCCGCATTCAAAGCCTCTTTGTCCTCTCCTCCGTCACCCTCCTCCGCTCCGCTCTGAAAGCCTTCTTTGGGTGGCGAGCACTCCTTGCCCGGCTTGTCTTTTACGCCGGACGTGAGCTCCCGGTGGCGCGCGTGTTCCGGGAGGGCGGATGGATCCCCCCTGAGTTCTGGCGTTCGCCCCCCATTGTGCGCACGTGTGGGACCGCTCTCGCGGGATTCCCTGCCAAGAGGCGCATAGCCACCAGCGTTGCCCTGGCCGTGCAGAGCGCGCGGCAGGCGATGAGGGACACCCCCAGGGGGTCCGTCTTCAATCTCACCTGTACCGCTCCCTCGCCTCATCGCTCTTCCCCGACGATTTCGCCTCGCTCCTCTCCACCCGCTCCCGAAAATGGCGCGCCTCGCCTGGAGAACTGCCGCCCGATTTTGTCTTCCCCAGGGAGACCATCAGAGTTCAGCTCCTCAAGGTCCCTGTCGCTTGGGCTTTCGCATGTCTCCGCACGTGGTGCGGAAACTGGACCGCCGAACACTGGCTCCAGCAAGAATCGCACACGTGCGTCTTCAGGTGCAGCGCATGGGATGATTTACGACATCACCACACATGCGCACGCTTCAACACGTGCTGGTCTCTGACAATGGGGGGACCCCTTCCAGAAGGCACAGCTGCCACATTCGCAGTGTTAGACCTCTCCCAGCTTTTCATATCCACGTGATTGCTCGCGTTGGTCCCAGGCTCCCGCCCACCGCAACCCGCCCACCGGGAAATCTCTGAAGCGGTGCGGGCCGCCGCCGAACTCCCCCCGTGGGGTACGCCTCCAGGAGGCTCGGTTCGCGAACTCGGCTTGAAACGTCGGTGTTTCTCGCCTTCTCTTACGGCATTATGTCAGATAGTGCCCTGGAGTTTCGTCATGGGGCGTTCTTGGGCTTTCTTGGGCGCCTCTTGGGCCG